AGAGTAGAGAAGAAGAGCTTGCTCAATGATTTATAGAGGTTCGGGTCCAACCACTTGGAGCCTAGTCCTCTACCTTGGCTTCACTCACCAAGGATTTCCTCCACACTCTCCACTAACAATAACAAGGGTGGCTTAAAGGAGCCACTCAATCCTGTTACAACAAGATGAGTATTTCTCTCAAACCTCACCCCTTTACAATGTAAGCCCCACAAATCCTCTCAATAGATCACTCTTGAAGGAATCAACACACCCCCAAGATCACTCACTAATAGCACAAGAAGAGGATTACAAGCAATGATCACTCAAAGATCAAAAACTCAAGTTAAAGCTCTAGTGGGTAGGTAAAGATATTCAATGCAATGTTCTCCAACCTTCTTCAGATCTGTTACCAACCATATTTATAACCCCTTGCTCGAAAATAGCTGTTTCTAACCGTTGGGGGTCATTAAATGCTCTGCAGGACACAAAGCTCGAGCTGCAGAATTGTCAGGAGAGCCGGCTTAACATATTAGAGCTGGCTCTTCAGAGCCGGCTTACATTTCCAGAGCCGGCTATCCGGGTCTGCAGCACATTCTGTTTTCCTCGAGAGCCGGCTGCAAAACTTTAAGCCGGCTTTGCAACTCCGACTTTAAATACATTTAATATTCTTCAAATAAGTCGACCGTTGTGTATTAAATGCATCCTCATAGCCGGCTACAAAGTTAGAGCCGGCTCTGCGTCTTTTCTCCACGCGCGCCAAGCAACGGACTTTTAAAAGCTTTCCCCGTAGAGCCGGCTGCAGCTTCCAGAGCCGGCTGCAGCTTCCAGAGCCAGCTCTCTGCATTTCACCAGAGCCGGCTGCAACTTTCAAGAGCCGGCTCTCTGCAGATGTTCAAGCCTTTCTGGTCCATTATTAAGTACAGTCCAGGTTTACTTATTTTGCAATCTTTTGACATTTTAACTACACACTTAAATGAACCAATTAGTCACTCAAATGTGTTTTGTAATCATCAAAATCATAGGTACAACAAATGAGATGGGACAAATCGCCTCAGGCTTAAAAATCCTAGAATGTGTGATGAACAGAATTGTTGTTGTGAAAAAACGAATTCTACCATCTAGTCACAAGTGTGGTATGGTGATTTTTGCTTGTTCCATAGACATGACCCAGACAAATTGGCACTATCCGATCATGGAATACCTCAAAAATCCAAGTTTTAAGGCTTCAAGAAGGATGAAAATGCAGGCCTTGAATTCTATTCTGTTGGAAGGTGTTCTTTATTGTAAAGGACATGATGAACTCTTCTGCATTGTCTAGGTCCAAATGAGTACTAGCAAATTATGTCAAATGTACATAACGGAATCTGTGGTGTACACCAAGCTAAAATTAAGATGTGCTGGATGATTCGCAGACATGGATTTTTCTGACCATCAATCTTAAAAGATTGCATCAGTTATGCTATGGGTTGCAAAACCTATCAGATTCATGGACCACTATAGAAAGTTCTCGCATCAGAACTCCATCCAATTGTCAAATCATGGCTATTTCGAGGATGGGCAATAGATTTGATTGGTAAAGTCTATCCTCTTTCAACTAAAGGGCATTCTTTCATTATTGTTGCTACAGATTATTTCACCAAATGGGTGGAAGCAAAGCCAATGAAGAAGGTAGACCAAACCAATATTATTAAATTCCTCAAGGAAGATATCATTCGCAGATTTGGTCTGCCAAAAACAATAACGTCAGATCAGGGGATAGTTTTTGTTAGTTCACAAGTTGAGGCATTTGCAAGGGAAATGGGCTTTCGTTCACTCACTTCAACCCCTCATTATGCTCAAGCCAACGGTCAAGTTGAAGCTTTCAACAAAATTGTGATAAATCTACTTGAAAAGATGGTTGACAATAATCTAAGGCGTTGGCATGAGCTATTATCTGACACAATCTCATCTTACAGAATGTCACAAAGGAGTTCTACTAAAGTAACTCCATTCTCTTTAACTTATAAACATGATGTTGTTTTGCCTATGGAGTTATGTACTAAATCATTGCGTATAATGATTCAACATGGTCTTACTTCTGGAGAATATAACGATGTAGTGATGTTAGAATTAGAGGACCTTGAAGGCATGCGATTGATGACCTTAGATAGGTTGCAAACGCAAAAATTAAAAGTGGCCCGAGCATACAACAAGCAAGTGAAATCTAAAAGTCTAGCAGAAGGAGATCTGGTCTGGAAAGCAATTCTACCACCTAGAAAGAAAAGATCCCAGATTTGGAAAATGGTCTCCCAATTGGGAAGGACCATTTCATGTCCATGAAGTGCTTAGAGGGGGAGCATATTGGCTTGAATCACTAAATGGAGCGTTGCACCCTCGAAAAATAAATAGAATCTACCTTAAGCCTTACTATCGTACGATATGGGAGGCTAGAGGTCTGAATACCATGAATTCTACCTGAACAAATTTGGCATAGGAATTGTATAGTAGTTTCTTTTTTAGTATTTTATAATTTAATAAAAGTGCTACACTAAATATATAAGTAGGCCAAATCTGGCTATGAGTAATCAAAGTGGCCAGATTTTGGTCGTGACTGATCTTGAACTGTTGAAGAATATGAATAGAACATGCAATAAGCAAGTTGCCACAGGCATGGACAAAGAGGTTATGCGAGAAAAAAGTTGTGCTTTGATGCTGGAAAGTGCTTGTAGGTTTGTTTTTAAATCTGTGTGGAGTTTGTTGTGCTGTATTGCCAAATTCTACTCTGCTTATTCTTCTTCTAGGATTTGTTTCCTTAATTTTGCAAGCTTAGCATCAAGGTTTGAGATCTCCTCTTTAAGACCTTGAAGTTGTTTACCAAGTGCATTTTAATGGTTGAAATATGACATGTGGCATAGGGAGTTGAAGCTCTGCGTGCAATTTATTTAATTTAAAACATTTGGATTTATTTCCATAAAACCAAGTGTTAAGGGGCATTGTTTACATCATAATTGCAAAATTTAAGATTATTCCACATGTCAAAAATTTTTGATGGATGGAGGAGATTTTGCCATGTCAAATATGTAATTCTAGGTCCCATGACAGATCAACTGCCACATTGGATGGAAGGAGTTAAAAAGATAAGATTTTATCTTTTAATCACCTTTTTGAGTTAAATTCAGTCTGTTTTAACTGAAATATAGGAGAAAGTTTTAGTTATGGGTGTGGGTTATTAGATAATGGGACAAGGGGCGAAATCTGGAAGGGAGTCTAATCCTGTCAATTGTTGAGATGTCCCATTACATCAAGAAACTGCCATGATTTTTGTAACTGCAGAAAGTGGGAGGTTACAGTTGGAAAAAGAAGAACAAAAAGGAAATTTTGGATTACAAAACACACAGCTAACCCTACTCAAAACTTACAAATTTTCAAACTTTCATTTTCTCTGTAATTGCTTACAAATTTCAGATTTCAACACAATTTTCAGTAAATCTAAGTTGTTTTTCATCATTCCAATAGTCAAACTAGTTCAACTGCTCGTTTCAGCAATTTCATTTCATGTATTGAACAACAAGCTTTTGAATTTCTTGAAAGTACTATTTCTTTTCTGACTGTAATTAGTTTAATGTTTATGATAAATAATATTTCATCAAATAATTACTTATATGACGTTTATGCTTCTTCTCAATTTCAAGCATGTTAGTTTAATCATCGTTCATATTTAATTTTAATGTTGTTTAGGGTTAGATCTTAAAATCTGCAGTGGTTTGATTTCCAAATCTATTTGTAGATAGCAATTTAATTTGACAATGAACATGTTTAATTTAATTTAGATACATCTTGTTCTCACAAATTTACTTTAAATTGCATGCTATTTAGTTTAATTAGGATTTGTTAATTTTGATTCATGGTAGTATTTAAGTCCTTGGAGTTATCCAAGACAGATTTTGTAACCCATTCTACAAGAAAATATCCCTCCCTCTTGCAAATCATCTGTAGACATAGATTTTAATTTTAAACCAACGTTCTTCTCACCATCTGCAAGGAGGTCGACTGTGAGGAAAAAGGTTGTAAGAAAAATCTTTTTTTCTCACTTTTAACAAAGTGGCACCCTTGCATCTAAATTTCACACATGTGAAGCTACTAGAAGATTTTTTAAGAAACAATTTGTAACTTAAAGGCTTGTATGGTTAGCGTATTCTTATACTCCATTTAAAATAACAAAAAATTCTTTGCAGTTCAGGGGGTAAAAAAAAAGTACACAAGAAGTCACCTTTTAAAAAAATCCTCCGAATTGGAATGAGCTGGCTGACTTTGGTCCTGCCATCTTTGGTTATCCACATGTTATCAGATAATTTGCAAGCAAAGAAACACTAACGGCAGATTTCAATTATGCATAAATGTCTGTTCTCAGTAGATTGAAACAAGATCATGATACGAAAACCCAAGGAAAGAGAATACCCAAGTTAGGATAAGCAAGCCAATCCTTGAATAAAGTTTTAACAACAATTATGGCACCATGAACCAAGCTTTTAGACCCAATGGTTCGACTCCAAACTTTAAGTGGTAGGGTGAGGTAGTCAAAATTTCGAACACTACCACCATTGTAAATTCCACCAAATGTGACCCGATGGCCACGCACCTCATTTGAGGAGGTGGAATGTTCACCCGATCGGTGGATCGAATTCTTAATTACTAACAACTAATTCAAACTAACTTCCTAACCATTACCCTTGTAAAAAAAAAAAAAAAACAATTATGGCACTATATACAGCAAAGAAAATCTCTGGTAGCATATTATAGCAGCATTTACAACAATTAGAATTGGCCGACGAGGCGGATCGAGAATAATATTACATGATAATATTATGTGCTATGGACACATTAAATAATAAAGTTTTCATTACAAGAAATAAAATAATAAAGTTCTCATTACAAGAAATCTTAGTTGACATTCTTAGTATTTGTTACCCGGAGTCTGAGGGAAAGTTCAAAAGAAACTGGACTCAACTTTTCCAAAAATAGATACCTGGAGAAAGCAGGAAGAGAACTAAGATAACAGGAAAATAATGAAAGGTATATCCCATTCAGGCAGTCAAACCCTAGGTAAAGATAGGCGGTTCTACTTTTAACTTTAAATTTCCACAATCTCATTTACCTCAACATGTGACTCCTGCCTAGGATGAATTCACAGAAAAACCTAGGTTTTTGTTTTTGAGAAGTAGCCCCCCACCCTCCTCTCTCCCCGTAAAAAGATAAAAAATAAAAAAGAAAGAAAGAAAGAAAGAAATGAATATCATATATATGAGAAGCAGGGAAAACACTTTTCACGAAGAGTCGCAAAGAAACCACGAGAGTGGAAAACCACATTTTCAAAGGAAATGGCTAGCCATCAAAAGTAGTGGTTTCTCCTTCTCTTCTTCAAACTCCTTTGAAGCCTCTGCTTTTATTTCTTGAACCTTTTTGTCCCAAATGTTATCTATTAGCTTCCAAGTGTAATCACTAATAATTTGGGTCTGCACAAAGACATACAAAAGAAAAAAAAAAGCTTAAATTGTCAGCAGTTTTGGCACAATGATAGCATATGACGAGGAATTAAAGAATCCATTAAGTACAATTTCCAAATTACCTCCTTTGGACGGGGTGCACCAAAAGTTGAAAACCCAACATTTCCGGGGGCAAATGTAACTCTTCCTGGAAGTGAGATCCCATGGATTCCCCACCGCCCAGCATGAATCAGGGCTCCGTACTCATCAATAGGATTAACAGCAGGCTGAATAGAAAGCAAATAAATGAGGGTTCTGGAACAATTGCACTAGTAAGAACGTATAAGAGTCAATGGTAACAAATAAGCTTTCCACAAATCAAAAAGTGACGAAAAAATAAAAAAAGCAAAGACCATGTTCTGCAGAAAAATAACTTTTTCTTGTCATTGTCAGAAACTTTTTTCTGCAACACTGCCAAAGAAATGACTTGTTTTTACAGGAATGCATGTCCTACAAGAAGGAACTAAAATACAAACATTTTGCATGCCAAGATCCAAAGGAAGCCAATAAAACCAGCACAATCTGACAATCATTACCCTTCCTTCACTTCTATTTTTCTTAACTTGATAAGTATTACGATAGTTCTAGGACTACCTGTGGTATTTGAGGTGCTTTATTATATATATCCCAAATTTCCACAGCTTTGATCTCTCCCTTTTCAAGTAGTATATCTGCAAACATTGAAGATTTGTTGACCACTGGAGTATTCAGTAGACACTAGATTCTTTCAATATGAAGCTATTAGAAACAAATCTCAAAATTAAATTTAAAATCAGCCTAACTAAAAGCAACCAGGCAGAGCAGAGAATGATGCTTCTAGTGACTAAAGGGATTAAGTATATAAGTCAATATGACCTGTAATTGTCTCTATAGCAGGATGGTATTCTCTCAGCACGGATGCACATTTCTCTACAGCAAAGCGCATGTATTCATCTCGAAGTGCCTCAAGTTTTGCTGGAAGCTGTAAAACATTCTAAAGTCACTGATAAAACCTATATCAGATTAGGAAAGCTATTAAAGGAACCCAAAAAAAAAAAAAAAACACCAAGATTAAATAGAATTCAACACCCGTGACCCATTTCACTTTACATTAGGCACGAGATCATTTTGATGTCTGTAATATGCTTTCCCAAATGCTGTCATCCCTGTCTGCAGAATCAAAAACTGTGTAATCCTTGAAGCCTCCTGGATTGCTTCTGCTGAGATCCAACTTAAGTTATCAACTCCAAACATTTCCTCTTCAATTACTCTAGCTGCAAATTAGAGTTACCAGCAACCCACTTTTAATTTCTAGATTAAGAAAAGGAAGAACTATACATAAAACAGGACCCATGTAGACATGCAATGGTCCATCAGAAAGTCTACTTTATGGACCAGACTTATTTTTCTTTTAATTTTGCCTTCATATAGAAAGCTTAAAGTTATGATGTAGACTTCAATTATGAAGCAAAACACACAGTAACTGAACAGAATGATAATGGTAATTAGTAATACACACCATCATAGTTATAAATGTATAATCACTTTGTATGGGTTTAAGTAACCTTTGTACATACACAAATATATTATTTTATTGCTGACCAATAAAAAAAACAAAGGTAAATGAGAGAAATTGCCATAATTTACCTATGCACTAGTGAATTTTGTTGTAATAATAAATTAGTAATATAGACCGTCAAAGTTATAATAAGGAGGTAAACTAGTGAAATTGCCATAATTTACCTATGCACTGTTGAATTTTGTAGTGAGTAATACTTTGTTGAAATTACACAAATTTCCAAAACAAAAATTTCAGTAAGACTGTAACATTAGCAACAGAGTCATAAGTCCATAAAAGTAGCCATGATGATGTTGCAAACCAGAATAATTTTCACAACTTACAGGCACATGCACGCACTATAGAGTTTACATAATCTGATTTTCTTGAGAAAACTTTGCCCAAATTTTCCGCATACCGCATATTTGGCCGGCTACTCATGGAATTTATATCTGTCTGTAGAAGGAACAAATGAAAGTTTCAATAATAAATTGACAAATATAGAAAGGGCTTGCACAGCTGATAAAAAAGAAAAAAACAAAATGAAAGAGCTTTCAGAATGAAGATGAACTGATGATTTATTTTAAGGACCTCAGTGAAAGGGCGATAGGGATCTGGAAAGTAGCAAGCAAGAACAGCAACAGCTGCTTCTCTATATGCCAATCTCAACTTTAATTCCTCTGGGATCTCTGTGCTATCTTCTATGCCTGTTTCAAACGTCCCCCTTTGCTAAAAAGAAATACAACAAATTAAGTGAGAAGTTTAGGATCGATATGCTGAACAAAAAAATACTATAAATAGCAAATCAAAATGCAAAACTAACCCTCTTTAATGCCTCTATAAGTTCTTCTTGTCCAATGTAATCTAAATCTTTCCTGGCAGTCAAAATTCCAGCTTCATTCCTGTCATTCAGTTTGGGAAACATTGGTTCTCTCCTCAGGTTAAGACAATCAAGTCATAAATTATAAATTCAGTATCCCATACAATATATTTTGCAGCTCTGCTCCAGTGAAGTCTTCTGTGAGCTCTGCAACTTCTTGCAATAGACTCTCTTTCTCATCCTCTGAGCAGAAAAATTTATTTCTGGCATGAACCTGGTAGTTACAGAAACAATAAAAAATAAAAGCCATAAAGCAAACATGGTAAAGCCAATGCATTTTGATCCTATGCATATCAAACCCAGATACCTTCAATATGGCCAATCTACCATCCTTCGATGGCAACCCAACTCTTATGATCTTGTCAAAACGGCCTTTTCTTAAGAGAGCAGGATCAAGAATGTCAAGCCTATTTGTAGCACCTATAACTAACACCTGACAAGCCAGAGATCAGAAGGTGAATCTGATAAAGTCCTCTCAAAAAATGGAGTAGGATCATACCTGGGATGTAAACTCATTAAATCCATCCATCTCAGTCAGTATTTGAAGCAGGCCTTGTTCCCTTTCAGCACCACCCTGTAGAAAGCAATCACGTGGACAAGCCATATTATGTACAATATCTTAAACTCAAAAACTACATATGACATTGTCTGCATTTAGAATATTGACAAGCTCTATTAAGTGGGAAAATCCCACATTGGTGAGTTAAGGTGACAACTGTGCAAATACAATGCGGACTACTCCACCTATAGTCAATTGATTTTAGGTTGGTTGTTTACAAACTCCCCTCATTGTGAATTTTCAGAATATCATTTTTATTTTTCTTTTATTTATTGAATAACATAGGTATCGAGAACTTTTGGCTTGATTAGTCTCACAGGTATTTGCAAATCCTACCCACAAGTACTGAGCAAAGCTCTATCCAAGGATGACAGGTGTGGCTTCTTTGAATTCATGAGTTTGCACCAAAATGGCAATGGAGGCATTCAACATTACATTTACAGCATAGTTCAAAACTTCAAATAAATCCTTACCATTCAGGCCAACCCCAACAAGTAAATAATAAATAGTAACACAAAGATGGAAAAAAAATGTGAATAAATTAAGTCTTACACCACCAATATCAGGCCCTCCACGCTTGCTACCAATTGCATCAATCTCATCAATAAATATTATAGAAGGTGCAAATGATCTAGCACTATCAAACAGATCCTTCACACGTGATGATGCCACACCAACAAACATCTGGAAAGTGAAATTTTTATGTTAGCCAGATTACAATGTCACAGTTTCAGATACATGGAAAAAATACTATTATCAACAATGAGGAGTTATGACACAAACACCTCCAGGATGATGTGAACTAGAAGAACGCTGAAAAAATAAACAATTTTAATAGGCATAGGAATCTTCAGATATGACCAAAAAAAAAAAAAAAAAAGGGAATCTTCAGATGAGGCTCAGAAATATAAATTGGAATTTGGAACATTTATGTCAACTAAAAAGATAAATAGAAGAACAAAGGAAGCAACTATTTACTGCAATGGTAAAAATTTTATGTTGACAAAGAAAAGAGAATGGGTTCAAAAATAAGGGCCCCTTTAAGCAATATGAAGGTCCCACTACAACTTCAATACAAACCATAACACCCAAAAGATGTTCAATAAAATTACACAAGCATGCAGAAGTATATTGAAAGCCACAAGGACAGCAACTAGAGTCAAAAAAAAGTCTATGAGCTACAACAAAAATAGAACAAATAATGAGGAATAACACACAACAAATTAAAACCTACGAGAAAAACAAGACCAATTAAGCTTAACTCCAACTCCATAATGGATGACATCAGATAGCCATGTTGACCTTTTTCCTCCATTGTATTTGGCTCAGAGCTATTTCCTTAAAGATGCTTTTAGAGAGACTGAAAACAAAGAATCTAATAGATTCACAGAAACATGAAAAATAGAAGCTTGAGAAAGAGCCTGACCTCTACAAAATCAGTTCCATTTACAGCAAAGAATGGAAGTCCTGCTTCACCAGCAATAGCTCTGGCCAAAAGCGTCTTACCAGTTCCAGGAGGTCCATGCAGAAGCACACCTTTTGGGCAGTAGATACCTTTATCCTGGAATTCTTCCTCATTCTTTAAAATGCGTACAATCTCTTGTAATTCCCTCTTTATATATTCTTGGCCAGCAAAATCATCAAAGGTGACACCAGTTCTCTCCTCTGCTGATATAAATTTTGCCCTGGTTTAGAGCAGTAAAAAGACAAGAAGCCTACTTGTTACAAATCAAAAGAGAATCTCTGTTATGTTAACACTATTAAAACATTAAGTCCAACTGCTTTCACAACATTATCCAAGTATCATTATCCAATCATAAAGACACTCATATCATGAATTAGTCCAGACTTATGTAACAGATTAACATAAAAGTTATAAAGTCTCCTTTTCACACCCAAAGTTTGACGTTAAATGAAATGCAATCAGAAAATCAGCAGAGAGCCAATAACTGTCATCACTTAGACCATTATCCCACATGAAATGGAGGAAAACCATGCACTTTAACATTGCAAACAGAAGAAGGAAACTATCAAACAAGAACAAAACAACCACCAAACAAAATTCTGAGAAACTTATGTTGTCAATAAAGGATAGATACCTAGGCATAATATTTGAAAAAGGCAAAGGCCAATGGGAAAAAAGTATAGCTAAATAAAAGAAATATGTGATTTTTGAATGCATATAAAAGTGATTGGCAGAGCATAAACACTTTGAGTCTGAGTCTGTAAAGCTATGGAACCATAAGCGACCAATCAGAAGACAAAGGAGTCATCCTAGCTGTCAATCAAGCAAATTGTAAGGAAAGAAATTAAAACCCAAAAATAATTCAATAGTTAAATAGAAATGATTGTTTCTAACAATGCTCCCAGCATTCCCATGTTATTATGGTGAAACTTTCAATTTAAAGACCTTTAAAACAAAGTCAATTGTACACCTTAGCATTCAAAAAGACATTCTAAGTCTAAAATACTGTCAAGAAAGAAGCTGCTTCACAGCAACACCAGATAACAATGAAAAAGTGTGGCATATGCATAACATTAACACACTTTTCATAAGTATCATTATCATTCACAAATTTAAGTAGTAAATATTCTACCAATAATGTGGGAAAGAAACTATCACCTATCTACACCTGGCCTTGTAGGCCACTTGGTAATGGTGTGTATCACCCAGCCCATGGGGCTGGGTTAAATCCCCCCTACCCCCAAAAATTGCCCTTGATAAAAAAAAAAAAAAGAAATTATCACCTATCTACTATACCCTCTAACAATAGAGTTACTTAAAGAATAAAAGAAAAAACTAAGGAGAAAGTAAATATTTTAATTGTAATTAGAACCCGTTAAAGTATTGCAGAGCACATGAACATTGGCATGAGTATTTGTTGATGCATTATGCGTTGCAACTTGTCCAATTAACTAAGAATATACCTACATCTGTTCAAAAAAGGGAATAAACCTACATCAAAGGAACTCTGAAAAATGCTTTCTCTCTGCCATCAAATTAGTCAACAAAAAGAATACTTGCGCAAAATGCCCCTAGCCAGATTTGGCTTGCTCAATCTACTCCATGACTCATAGAACACGATATGGGGAGATTGATAGCATAAGAACAACCAACAATTAATCCCAGATAAAAAGTAATGGTAGCAATAACAAAACTGATTAAATCAGGAACCCCCTTTTAAAAAAAAAAAAATGAGTAAAAAATTTTTTATTATTCGGAGTACAAGGGGTACTCCACCCATAACCTCATGGACATACAAAAAGAAAAAAATTTACAAGAAATAGAAAATCATTATCCACTTACCGGCTCTTCCCTAATGATCCAAGCCTTTGCGCACGACGCTTTAATGGTGGTCTACTCTTTTTGTTAGGAGTTCCTAGATCACAAGGTATTAACCTTGCATAAATGGGCCTCATCATATTATCAATCCAGAGATAAAATCCAACAGATAAGGCAAGCCGCATAGACCATATGACTGCTGTTGCAATGGTAGAATAGATTTCAGCAGGTACTGTGTCAACGTTAAGAACATCCACATGAACAATTTGCTGATGTAGCTTTTGCCAAACATCATTCCAAGAATCAATTGGCATTTGGTCCACCACATGGCGCCGAAAAATTATTTCCTTCTTTAAATTTCCTTCTGTTCCATCTATTTTTCCATCTTTGTAGTATGGAAGAATAACTACAAAATTTTAAAAGTTAAGTCAGGAGAAATTAGAATGACAAGGGTTATGTCAATTTGAACCAATCTGCATGATTATCCAACCATTATTAAGGAGACCAGATTCACAGATATGCTCTAAAGGTCAAGCAAATTGAAACCAAGAACACATAACATGACCAATCAACAGTTAAATCCACTCATTGCCAGAGAAGAAAAACCACTGAGATGGTACAGCATGACAAACAACAGCCTAAAACACAGAACACAGTTACAAAACCTGAAGTGGGGAATGATGATATGCAAATCGCAAAAGGAAGAGAATAGCGAAAACAAGAGATTAACACTCCGGTCCAGATACCCAAATGATGTAGAGAAACTTTACAGTAGCAAACCAGTGTAATTCAGGTCAGCCCAATCAAGTCTTAATCCTAGGCATTTAACTCTACCGTGTTTTAGTTGGTAGTAAATATGAAAAACCAGTCTCTCATGCTTGAAACTATATAATAATATAGCTTTGAAATCATAATCTGTAAATTTGGTCATAAAACTAAAATTTGCAATTTGTATGTAACACAAAGCTTTACCATAACAAAATAAATAAATAAAAACAAGCATCAATGATTGAATGACCAGAAAAGAACCAAGAGCATATTGTAAACAAGTTAGCAAAAATACCAAACCTGATATTGTCTGACCATAATTCGAGTACTCCATGAATTGCACGTTCTTTGAGTTAATAAGTCCCAAGAAATCACTATAGTCAATTTTGTGTGAATTCTCAGGATCCCACTCAGTCCCCTTCAAGTTTCCACGCATGGTTAACAAAGCCCTGCTCCAGCATGAAGCCATGACAAGCTGTCTTTCTAACTGCAAGTTAGCCTTTCTCTCAAGCTCTTCCAACTCATTCATCCGCTTTCTCTCTGATTCTTTCAATTTCTGGAAATTACAAGAAGAAAAACAAACAAGAAACTTCCAATAGATATTCAGCCATGACCAATTCAGAATATTCTTAAAGACATCAGGACTATCAAATTTAACAGTTCCACAATCATAATGCTGTCCGTTAACTTGCAAACCCAACTAAAATGCTCAAACCTAAAACATGATTCAAGTACGGTTCTTACCAGAATAACTCAAACTCAAAAGAAACACCAAATCATTCAACAAACAGGAAATTCTGCAAATTTCAGGCCCATTAAAAAATTGTGGAAAACATTCTTATAGACATCAAGGACCATCAATGGATAAGACAAAAAAAAAAAACCTATGAGCAAAATTTTACTCGAACAAAAAGGTTAACTTAATCTTTTGAGCAATGTTCCAATTTCCTCCAATTTCCCCCATTTTTTCATTAATCAAACAGAAGATAACATTTCAAAACCGAAGCAAAATTTTAAACAAAAAGAGAACAGTCACCTCGAATACCCGAGTTGACTCGGCATCTTCTGCTAAGTTGCCGGAAGTCACAACTGAGTCCACACTCGAAGCTTTACAAGCAGTGATTCTGATATTTCTGTGTGTAAGGAAGCTTATCTTAGTTTCACGGCCCTGTTCCCATGGTATATTTCGAGAAAAACAGTATGGGAATTGAATAAGAAGGGTTTTAGAGGGAAAGCACAATGGTTTTGAGAGCTGAAGAGGATTAAGTGGACGGGAGATGTGAGATTTCATCTTCCTACCATCAATAAATTGTTTTCCGCTCTACTTTCTCACTTCCTTGTGCGGGAAAACGCAATAATGTTATACTTTATCTAACAAGTCTGTATATTTGTGTATGCAAAAATCTCGGTGTGGGTTTTTTAAAATTTTAAATACCTGAAATGATCCCTGAACTGCCAAAAATACTCAATTTGGTCCTTGATCATTGAGAAATTCTTCTGTGCAACATAGGGATACCACATCAATTGGTATCTTTGTCCAATAAGGTTATGACAACTAACTAAATTGAGACAACCCAGCGCTTAATTAAAGACACATCACTAGAAAATTTCTTTGTTAAATTAATAGTCCTAGGTTAAAATCTTTCTTTCATTTGAAAAAGTATTTTATAATTCAAATGGTTCTAAACTATAAAACACTGACTCTTAGATGAGAGAAAGTCCCCAATATCAATGTAAAACACTAATATTGCGGGTCTCCCCATTATAAGGGTCCCTATTTTACATCTAAAATAGTCCAAACTGTAAGATAGTAGACCTTTATCTCAGAGTCTCATTCCCTTGTTTCTTTTCTCTCATTAGTGTCCTCTATCCTCCCCAAAGCTCCTCTCTTTTCTTCTACACACAAAACTTTAGCACACAAATACAAAGTAGAAGGAAAATTAGATACCTATTACCAATTGGAGAGTTCATACTAGTTAAACCAAATGTAAAACTAGAAAAGATTCAATCTTTTTGAGATTGCACATGAAAATTTTTCCCATTTGAAAACCTAGTTACAGAAACTAAAGGACATTAAGTCTTTTAATATTCCAAATAAAAAAAGTTCCAATTTTTCATTCCTTGGTTCCATATCCACAAAAAGGATAAACGACCATCAACTATATGATTTGGTGGTTGAGTTATCTTTGCTTTTATCCATAGGTCTAGAATTCAATCCTTAGTCTCTGCGTGTCAATAAAAAACAAAAAGCAAAAACAAAGAGGATAATCCTTTCATCTTTACAATTATGATTGAAGAGTATAGGAATTATCCATTAATTTTTCTATCATCCCCAAATCTTTTTGTACCTATACATTGTTTCTAGATCTAAAGAACCTATACATGTTTAGGAAAAGGGAAACAATAAGTGTACACTCAAAATCAACACACTCAGTTACACACCTTAGTTAGTTAAAAAAAATGCTTTAATATTGTTTGATAGTCAATAAAAAAATTATGCCTCACTTATCCAAGTTATACTTGGTAAACCAATTTAAAGGATTCAAAACAGAATCCCTAAATAGATTTGAAGCTAAATTCCTTCACATTTGGAATGAAATCTTGTCTATTGAATTGAAGAAGCTTTTCAAACAACCTCATGTCATGATGTTGAAGATCCCTACTTTGGAATCAACATGGTCAACATTTTCTTCATATGTGTTTGTATGAAATCTAATAGATTGAACTGAAGACCCTTTGCCAACAACCTTTAGTTGCCCCTCTAAAGTACCCCTATTTGGCATCATCAGGGTAAGCCATTTCTCCTTTGGGTTTAGGGTTATATTTCTCTCTTAAATTTATCCATCCTAGAAAGCTAACTAGTATTAACTGTTAAAATTTGATAAATGGCACCCCAAGTAAGGTGGAAACATGTTGAGAAGGTTCGAAAAGGGAGATAGCAACCAATTTAGATAAAAGATGCAAAGGTGAACTTAGTTAGACTTGTGGGCTAGGTATAATTCCATACTCATAATAATTAGTAAGGTGTTTGGTTTTGGCAAATTTCTCATCCTCTCTTTGGTTGCTTAATGAGTGAAGAAAAACAAGAAAGAAACATGAAGTTGTATAATTTTACACTTGAGGTTTGGTTTTCAACTGGTTTCATGTATATTTTTCTCGAAAAGAAAAGGGATCTATAAGTATATGGTTTGTTTAGTAAAGAATATAGTTGAATTGATATATTTTTAATAGTGTTAAACTTAGTAGATTAATTTTAAGAACAAGTTGCAATCCACAAATTATTTAGTACCCTCTCAAAAAATTTACATGAGATAAATTTTTGTTATGCTTGTGATGTTTAAGGTATGTCAATGGCTATAGAGTAATGGAGACATTTAGGTTGGAAAAATTTTGGGTCAATAGAGTAAGGGGAAAATTTAGTTGGGCAAGAGTAATTGGAAACGGTAAATAGATTTGAAAAAGATCTAAAAATACTTTAGTATATTGTTTACAATTCTAAAGATCTATTTCTACCTAAGCTATGAAGAGGTTAGCCTCTAGCATTGCACAAATCACAAAGAAAATGCTCTATGATTATTGTGAAGTGTGGCTAGGAATAGACAAAGGGTTTGAGGAGTAGCTCCATTATGGACATGATGTTGCTAATGAAACATCATCCCTTAACAATATGCAACAAAGGATAAATGGAAGGAGAGGTTACAAAGAGGAAACGGCGTAATGTTGATTCAGTTGTTACAGGTGATACGACACACCTTATTATATCCAAAAAATGCATGTTGTCACATTGCAACCAATTAGGTACACATTAAACTCTAATTAAATGGTATATAGATCAATGCGTCATTGACTATAGGTGACACATAATGAAATGGTTAAGCATGTTGAATTGCGAACTCCATTACTCCCAATTCGACAGTTCTCCAAGGATTAAGACAGGATTTACCAATTCATATATAATTAATCTTCCAAAGTGAATAAGTAATATGATAAGTTTATAATCATTTTTTTTTCTTGGTGATTAGCACCACACCATATTTTTTCAACATTATCATACTTATTCTTTTCAACATGTACTTGCAAGATGATATGGGTGAGTATGAATGGGTGAGAGCTTACTAGGTTGGAAATGCAAATGTTTGCCTTAAGCAATGGATGTTTAGTTTGGTAAGTGTAGGTTTAGTGGCCAACTTGCCTATTAATTAACTTATGGTGAAAATATTTTGTTATATCACAAAATTTTAAGTTTAATTTATGTAGTTATAAATCTCGTAAACTGTCTCTTATTACACAATTAGAGTATCCTAAAATGAATACTTCCAAACCAATTGCAAAGCCACCTTTTGCATTTTGGTTGATTGACATTATTATTCAATTTGTGCATTTGCCTTTTTATTCTTTATTTTTTGTGAATTATGGACTTATATTGCCACTATCTACATTATAAATTCAAGGTCAGTAGGGGTGGTTATGGAAGGAGATACCGATTCCAATTTCCACTTACTGTGAGTTTTTATCTCCATATTTCATATTGATCTTCTTATTTTCATCCTATTCCAATAGGTATCTAACAGAAAATAATTATAATAATATGCTTATCTTTCAATTTGTAATGATTGCAATAATTGGCGGGGATCAAATAATACAACTTAGTCCCCATATGGTAAAACTAAGTTAATTTAACAAATTTTTTTATTACTACAAGCATATCTGACAAATTCTACTATACTATAACATTGAATTGTGTGTTCCATTGCATAATATATACTCTAATAAAACAATTGATGTTTATGGCCTTTATGTGTCATGCCTATGTTGTGACATACTAGTTGTGTTAATTACAACAATTTATTTCAAAAAATAATTACAATTGTATAGGAAATGTTTCTTTTCAATATGGTTTACTTCTAAATGCATCTCCATGGGAGAGATATGTTGGCTTGTTATTCCCACACTTGTCTACTTTCAATAGATTTGTTTGCCCATAATATTTGAGGGTCATTGGTTTTGCTACATCCTAAACCTCTACGATGCACTAGTTAAGTTATTAGATTCATTGGCATTCTCATGGATGGCAAAACATCATTATCTTGATTGTGTTGTGGTATGCTTTGCTCTGTCCACACCTATGTTGTTTTATACATCTTTATTTGAATACTTCATTCTTGTTTTCTCTTACTAGCATCTATTACTTTTAATATATTCATGGTTTTCCTTATTGTGTTTGACTACATTACCCCTTTTCAATACAGCAATAACCTTCCTTATTCTCATATTGCCCCTATAGAAACAATGTTTGTATGATATAATGACAAGGGTAAACAGTGGGAGTCAATTTGACATAATTGATTTGTTTTCATTCGTGCACTAATTACTCAGTAAAATAACTCATGAAACCTTTGATACTATCTTTTATTAATATAACTAAATGTTAGTGCAATTATTTTGATGAATTAGACTACTATCAATTCATATGCAACAATGATTGTAGTATTTATTGTTAAAATTCATGGAATTGTAGAATGGGTATTGTTTATTTGATTTCACTCTAGTGGATCCTTATATGTCGTGGTTTTTATTAACCTATTATAATAGCTAACCTAATGACATCATTGGATTAAGTCTTGTTATTCCTTACTCTCTTCTACCCTTAACATTGGGAAAGCAAATAACCACCTTTTGTTTGCATCCCTATCAAACCATTTGTAAATCTTAAGAAAGTAATTGATACTTATTTTAATTATGCATCAACAAAACAAGTGTAGAACTCACATTTTGGATTAGATTTAGTAATTGTTTCTATCAAGGTTTTGAAAATCGGACCAGACCGGTCGATCGAACCGGTTGAATCGATACCCGGTAGTATAAACGGTTCGATTCTATCCTTTAAATCGTTTGAAGATCAAATCGTTTGAAAACCGATAAGAACCGTTGGAACCGCTCAAACTGAAAAACCGTTCGACCGAACGGTTCAATGCTTGGGAACAAAAGCTTGAGAAATTTGTCCCCCATGAAGCTTGAACTTGCAACCTTGAAGTCTTTTTAGTTTATTCCAACCCTTTGCCACCAGGACAATGCACTCCGTTTGTCAATGGATGCTTGAAATTTTATTTAGTGTATTTTTAAAACCATAATTATTTAAAGTTTGTTCACAAGGGCACTCAAACCTGTGATCTTTGGTAGGAAAGAGCAACCACCTACCATTGCATCAATGGATATCTTGTGCAATACTTTACAAAATAATATATTTATACTATATTAATGAACTGACGGTTTTACTAGTTAAACCGGTTAAATCAGTCAAATCGTGAACCGGAGGTCAAAATGGTTTGACCTCCGGTTCGGGTTTAAAAACATTGGTTTCTATGCATGTCATTGATGTTTGGACTGTTTTTCTCTTTTTCTTTTGTTGGCATAGGTAAGATCATTATTTTGTTCCCAAGATTTGTTTGCTTTTCATTTTCCCTAATCGTTGTTGTCACACCCTAGAACCTAAATTCGAGGTGCGACAGACGCCGTGCACTTGTGAGAGGATCCCACAAATGCACAAGGATCGGAACTTATCATATCACAATCTGATACCACCAAAATCTCCAGATCAAATCTTATAACTCAAGGTCAAATCTCTTGTAACTAACAATCCATTTAATGAATTTATAAAATCTCCAATAAAAATCCAGTTTACAAGATCATGATCTATATCTAAAATCTATATCAATCTCAAAATGGCTAGCCTTCTAACTCGTCACTTCCCGTGGTTTCCCCGTCCTCGGTTTCATTTCCTGAAATGGTGGACAAGGAAAAACTATGAGATACACTCAGTAAGTAAAATATGGAGTACCCCTTATTAAACTTATAGCATGCCAACAAGTGCAATCATGAAAAACGGATACAATACGGGAACAAAATAGACGTCTCCTCTATAGGTCATGGCCAGTGTATTAAACTTCCCATTGGTAGGCTACACTATTTGCTGGTGTATAACCCCTACTAGCAGGGTTGAATGAACCAGTTCTATCAATAACATGTTGACATGTGCTAGCGTTTAACCCCCACTATCAGGATCATCAATAACATAACCACATCGGAGACAAGAAGTTAACAAAAAAATCATAATTCACCAATCACTTTCAAATCATCAAGACAATCAATTAAATTTCAAGTAGGCATGCTCAATTTAATGAAAAGTATAAAAATTTCACTTCAAATCAATCATACTTATGTAAATTGGGTTAGTCCCGCCACCACTTCAAAAATAAATCAAAACATACTTTTAAAAACTGTACGGGCATTACCATAATCTACTTACCTCACTCGCATAAAACCGAGCACTCAATCTCCATGCTAACTGACAGAACGATCGAGAACCTAATCAAAATATTTCAAGAATTAATTTCGCATTACCACAAATTCAAACTGAAATCATCATTGGAACTACCCCTAATAACGATGCTATTTCCTATCAATCTCCACATGATCAGATATCTCCAAATTCGTTCTTATATCACAAACTAATCATTTAAATCCCCGTTAATTGTTGGCCCTCAGTGTGTGAACAGTGTCCATGAACAGTTCCGTGAACAGTAACCACGACGTTAACAGTAACTCAAACTTCTAAAATTGGCAAACCATAGCCTATTCTCACGGGATTTTCTCCAAAAATCACACAGAAGTCAATTAACACTCAATACACATAAATCCCACTTGAATTAATGCTTAAACTTCATCCTAAAGCTACTAGAATTCCTCCCCATTTTTCTATCAAATTCGGACAACACAGCCAGCAAACTATATGGATAATTTCAAGCTTAAATGGCTGTCACATACCATAATTCTCCAGCTAAAACCGGAGCTGCAAATTGGGGGAAGGCCGGCAGCATGGAAGAAGAAAGCTCACGGGCTCACGGGAAATCTATCAAAATTCTGGAGAAACAACATATTTAACATGAACCCAAGCTAATTTAAGGCTAAAACAAAGGGATTTAATGGCTTTTTCTTACCCAAAAGGTCCAGAATTTCGCACCCACAAGCTGAAGCCGACGGACAGCAGAGGGAAGAGCAGAGCAGATCCGGAAGCTTCCTGCAGGGGGGGAGATTTCTGGGTTCCAAATCAGGTTCTTGGACAAGAAAAGAAGGGAAAAATCAAGCTCTCTACCGGTTTCCTCAAGGCATGGCTGGGTT